GTATAGCAAAAAAAATACGTAGTTTATACCAAACTGTGTTGCCTGGGCAGATTAATTTTGGTATTTTTATTATGTTGTAGATTTTATTATTAATTCGATTTCTATCTTATTTTACCAATATTGTTTTTAGTAGTTTTTTTTTATTAGTTTGCATTGCACCTAGCTATATTTCAGCCAATCAACAATTTGTCTTCATTATAAACTTAAGTAAACTTAAGAGGCTTAAAACTAAGAGTTCGCCCAATATTATCTTCTCCTTTCTGTTCTGATAACTATACACCGCACACACGCACTGTGCTCTGCTTTAACACACTTATTTAAATGGTTTGGTCCTTCTGAGCGTTCTCATTAGGTCAGTTGTCCAGGAACTGTAGAACTTCAATGTTGACATGATCATGCATTCTTTTTTGATGTTTTTGTGCGATGGTTTTCCTTTCTTCTTCTACTGTAGTCATTCTCAGATCTCTGTGTAGGTCTAAGTTTCTAACATACTAAGGGGCGTTTATTATTGCCCTTAATATTTTGTTCTGGAAACGTTGTATTATATTTATGTTAGTTTTACTGGCACACCCCCAGAGCTGTATGCCGTAAGTCCATACTGGCTTCAGTACTTGTTTATATATTAAAAGTTTATTTTCGATTGAAAGTTTTGATTTTCTATTCATCAACCAGTATAATGTTCTATAGTTAATACCCAACTCTTCCCGTTTTTTCTTTATGTGTTCTTTCCACTTTAATTTAATGTCTAGGTTTAATCCCAAGTATTTCGCCGAATTAGAATATTGTATTCTACTATTATTTAATGTCACTAGTAGGTATTCTACTGATCTTTTATTAGTTTATTAGTGAAGTTAAATTGAACTATTTTAGTTTCGTTGAGCTTAATGCACCATCTTTTCGTCCACTCATAGATTTCATTAGTTGCATGTTGAAGTTTTCTGGTCGATTCTTCTATGGTTTTACCGATGGCAAGTATGGCCGTGTCTTCGGCAAATGTAACTACTTTTACATTTTGATTTTGGGGTATGTCGGAGGTAAACAACTGGTAGACAACTGGTCCCAGAACACTTCCTTGAGGTACCCTTGCTTTAGTTTCTTTAATCTTGGAATATTTTTCTTCTTATTTAACTCGGAAGATTCTATCAGTCTAGTAAGATTTTAAGATGTCACAATATTGTCTAGGTAGAAGTTTATTTATTTTATATTCAAGACCCTCTAACCATACTTTATCGAAAGTTTGAGCTACACCTAGAAAGAGTGAGGTACGGATCTTCTTTTTTTTCTAGTGTTTTCTCTATTTCATTCGGTATTCTATGGACTTGGTCAATAGTGGAATGCTTGTTCCTAAATCCAAATTTGTGGTCAGGTATTATATTTTTACTGTCTATCAGTGGTTTCAATCTTTTTAGTAAAAGTTTTTTGAAAAGTTTAGATAAAACTGGTAACAGGGATATAGGTAGGTCTATAGGACTTCACTTCATTTGGTGGTTTTCCAGGTTTGGGTATCATTTTAACTTCAGCGACTTTTCAGATCCTAGGTACATGCTCTAGTCGAAATACAGCATTTTTTGGCAAATTGTTTTAGTATTTCACTTGTAATCAGATCATACGCGGGAGCTTTCTTAGAATTGTTATTTTCTTTGATTTCCTTAGCTACCTCTTTAGGCGTTATCCTAAGAATTTTTACTATGTTTGTGTTCTCTTGTTTTAATAAATCGAGTCCTCGTTTTACATTCGGTTAAAAAATTATTTGAGATGATCTGCAAAGATGTCAGCTTTTTGTTTATTTGATCTTGCCCAGTTTACGTTGTCTTCTTTTATTGGTGGCATATGGACTGTTGGACGTTTAAGTTTCCTAATTGCTTTTCACCAAGAATAATCAGTATTTGTGTCCTATTGATTCATTTTTATAAGTAATTATTTCTCGTTTTAGTTGTTGAGTTAGTCTGTTGAGAAATACTTTATCTTCAGGGAATTTAGTGATTTTCCATTTTTATCTTACCATTCTCTTCTTATTTATTAGTTCTTTTATTACTCTATGTTATGAATTACCTACGTTTTTTCTTGTAATTTTTGATGTATTTGTTCCATCATGATTGCTGTATGTCAATGACAAATTTTTCCAGCTCGTACTCTAGTTGTTCTTTTGTTCTTAGTTGTGCACTTAGTTCGATTCTATAACTTAATTCAGTTTTAAAACTTACCCAGTATGTATTTTTATCACACAGTGAGAGTCTAATTTCCTTTTAGATTATATTTTCGCTTAGTATCATTATTACTGGGGAATGATCTGAGACTATGTCAAAGTTTTCTTCTATTTCAATAAAGTTTCCGGGTATTTTTCTAGTAATGTAAAAGTCCAGTAAGTCAGGTATTTTATGTTTGTCCGTTGGCCAATGAGTTGGTTTTCCTGTTGACTGGTAGTCACACCCAATTTCACTTGCAGCTGCATGCAATTGCCTACCTTTGACGATTGTTAATCTGGAGCTATAGATGATATTTGCCCTTCATTTAATATCATCAGTTTTATTTTCCATTTTCATCTCTTCTATTTGTCTAGTCGATAGGTTTATTAATTTTTACTTTCCTATCTGTATACAGATATAAGGAAAGTATAGGAATCATGATTTTTTTCGACCTCGAGTTTTCGACGGATTTTTACGTTTTGAGGTCCCCTGAATCCGTTTTGACTATTTTCGCGATGATGTCTGTGTGTGTGTGTGTGTGTGTGTGTGTGTGTGTGTGTGTGTGTGTGTGTGTGTGTGTGTGTGTGTGTGTGTGTGTGTGTGTGTGTGTCTGTGTGTCTGTGTGTCTGTGTGTGTGTCTGTGTGTGTGTGTGTGTGTGTGTGTGTGTGTGTGTGTCTGTATAACGCATAACTCATGAACCGATACACGGAAAAACACCAAATTTTAAACTTAAGCTTTGTTCCAACGTCTAATGAGCTGATTAGATTTTGGGCAGAGTCGGAACATCTGGGGGGGTACTTTATAGGTGGTCATTTTTATATTTTATGGAATATATCTGTTATTTACGTTTGGGGAAGAAAATTTTTCAAATGAAAGTTACTTCTTATTTTATTATCTATAATTTTTGTTATATACAAAATTTTCCTAAAATGGTCCGTATTCGCGAAATTTGACAAAATGTAAAAAAATATTTTTTTCTATAAAAATTGTTCCAACAAAAGTTGTTTGTAATATAATTCTCTATAATTCTTATCCTATAGATAATTTCTCTAAAATGGACCGTATTCGAGATATTTGAGAAAATGTGTAAATTTCGAAATTTGAAGAAAACTCAAAAATGGATAAAGAAAAAAACATTAAATTTTAAACTTAAGTTTTATTTCGGCCTGACGTGAAATGATTAGATTTTGGACAAAGTCGGAACATCTGGGGGGGTACTTTATGGGAGGCCGTTTTTATATTTTATGGAATATATCTGTTATTTATGTTTGAAGAAAAAAATTGTTCAAATAAAAGTTACTTCTAATATTATTATCTATAATTTTTGCCTTATGTAAAAATTTCCTGAAATGGTCCGTATTCGAAAAATTTGACAAAATGTGCAAAATTCTGATTTTTATGAAAATTGTTGAAATAAAAGTTGTTTGCGATATCGATCTCTATAATATTTGTTTATACATGATTTTTTTAAAATGGACCGTAATGGAAAAATTGTAGGAAAAGTGCTAAATTTAAATTTTTCAGTATTTTCATTTTCAATGAATATCTATAGAAAAATGTTTCGCGGTAGATGTATGTGGACAATGTATATATTTAGTTTATCCTCTAAACATTTATAGAGATGCTGCAATAGATTGTACAAAATAACCGGAAAAAGCCTGTAATACCTAGATAGGAAAGTCATGTGTTGGACACATCAGATTTTTTTTTGTCAAAATACCATTTTTCTACTCTACTTGTACGATCTCTCAAAAAAAATATTTGACAACACTGGTCTGTCTACAAACCACGTATACTTTTATCATACCTTTTATTTAACATCTGAGACGCACCAATGACGCCATCGTTGCTGCGGTCGTTGCGTTTCCTATCTTTATGTCCCTAATCTCCACATACTTTGATAAAGTATGTGCTAATCTCTGACTCAAAACTAAACCATAAAATATGAACTACATAATATATGTTTTGTCTTGTGGCTAGTACGGTTCTAAGCATACTCCCAAAATGTATTCAAGGTCATGAACCTAAACGGAAAACTGTAACTACAATCTTAGGGCTATTCTAACTCCTTCTAGTCCTTAAATCTGGTCAGAAATATTCACCTGTCATGTGAAAATTAATTTGTTAATTATTTTTTCTTGTAGCATAAAATTGTTCTTAAAACTAATTATATATTATCTGTTTCGCTTAGAAATTAAAATAAAACCAATTTACTTGCAATTAACCGAAATTTCGTAATGCAATAATTGTATCACTTAGTTAAAGTGTGGGTCAAAGACGCGGCTTAATTTAAAATTCAGAAGTCATTCAAAATTTGACAACATGAGTCAATGCTACATTCAAATTTCTATTGTTTGTCGAGATGGTATAAAGTTCCAAAATTGTAAGTCAAAATGGAATCCATGAACCTAGAAAAAAACATGATGGAAGTCAACACTTGCATTTATTATTTTGGACTCATGGCCATTTTATTCTTGATGTATTACATTTTCAGACATATGTAAAACGAGTGCATTTTAGTCATATGTATTCACCAATAACCTAATCAAAAATTTATAGGTAAGAATTTATATACCTACATAATACATGCAACATTTACTGTTACAGTAAAAAGTGTGCTAGTTTAAGAATTTAGGAAATACTTGTAATGAAAATGTATTGGGATATTTTACTAAAATAGACAAAAAAAACAGTATATTTTTTTGTTGTTTTTTTTATTATTACTATTTTAACTTATTTCTCGTTTATATGGTACCTTATCCCCTTTAAAAAGCAAATTAATTAACAATTACATTGCATATTCTTTGTTACAGGAGTTGGTAAGGTATAGCGCTTGCCTTGGTGAGAACTATCTCGATCTTCAAAAGGCCCTAGATTTGATGCTAAGTGTCCCCCATCGGGCACAAGACGACAAATTTATTTCTAGCATCGAAGGCTACAAGGGTAGCATCCACAAACTAGGGCGATTACTAGCGCACGACAGATTTAGTGTCACCTTCGAAGACATATCCAAAGAAAGATATCTGTTTCTTTTCAAGGCACGCATCCTTGTTAGCAAAGTCAGAAGAATATCTGAAGACAGATCTATCTTTCAAGTCAAGGATACTATCCGGGTAAGTTTCAGTGCACATTGTAACGCAAGTAAATAACTCTTCAGGAACATTTTAATCTAAGTGCTCTTGTTATGGATTATTTGTTATTTAGGGTGCATTTTTCCTATTCCTTGGGTCAATCTGTATATTAAATTTAATTTTAGCTTTCGCAAGTAACAGTCAAAGATCATCCAGAAGACAAATTTACCTTTGAGCTTATTGACAAAGTTGGTGGACAAGTACTAGTTTTAAAGCTACACAGAGAAGTGAAAGAATTTTGGTTAAAAGAAATCAGAGAGTTTGCGAAGAATCACGGTAAGAAAGATTTGAGCCTTTTTTAGAAATTTTTAAGAAGATTTTTTAAATTTATTTCAATTAATTCTTTATTTATGAATGAGCATTGACCTTGCATTGACTGTATCAGTTGCGTGGTCCCTTACCATTATTTTTATTGAATTTAATTTTCACCAAATTCATCTTCTTTTTAAAAAGTAAAATTTAAATTGATTTCTTAAGAGATATCAGATATTTTAAAGAGAATCATTCTATACCCTGGAATGAATAATTTTATACCTTTCAGGTGAAAGTGAAGAATCCGGTAGCGACGAACTCAAATCACCACCTGCAGAAAAAACTGAAGAAGTAAAAAAGAAAACGAAAGAAAAAGACATACAAAAACAAAAAGAACCTACTTTAAAACAACAGCATCCAAAAGAATCAGAATTTCCAAAACCAAAGAAACAAAAAGTAGAAGAAAAACAAGTCACTGCTCAGACTGAAATCAGAAAGACTTCGCTCACAAGAAAAGATTCCAAAGAAGTTAGCGATACATTACAAACCCAAACATCACAAGTTTCATCAACCGTAACAAAAAGCGTCAACGAAAAATTAGTAACAGAAAACAACACCGAAAACAAAGCTGTTACTGATTTAAAAGTTGCCGTAAAAGAAGATTTACAAATAGAAAAATTAGTGTCTACAAAAGAAAAAATCAAGAGTTCTGTAGAAGCTACAAAAACTAGTGAAATCAAGCAAACTCAAATTGAAGATCAGTTGAAGAAACCTGAAAAAGTATCTAAACTAGAAAAACCCAAAGTAAAATTACCAGGCAAAAACAAAACTCAGGATAATCTTATTGCCGAGCTTAAACAAAAGCAAACCAAAGACTCGACATTAACATTAGAACAAACTGTACTTCCAACTGTATCGGTAACAACCGAAACCACTTCTACCACTACAGACATCTTAAAATCTGACAGTGAAACTCTTAAACAAATTGCAACACCCGAATCCGAAACAGTTGAAGATCACCATCTTCGCAAACTCCAAGCGGTCGAACCGCTAATCGAACTCCACAAACCCAGAGTTCTCGAAGAGGTTATCCCGTACGTGATCAAACCTCCACCCGAATTAGTACCTGGTAGTGCTGTTGACAAGTTGTTTAGTGTCGAAAAGTCGGGCGTAAGTGATATTGTGTTAACCGATTTTAAAGTAGGAATTGAAGTCAATGTCGAAGTAGGAGACGAAATGAGTAGAAGGTATACCTCGTCGGCTCGATCAGGTTAGTTTGTAAAAAAGTTAATTAAAGTTTTGCGTAACTGTGTGCTTTTGTTTTATTTCTAATTACGATATTAATCAGCTTTGACCCTAAACTAACAGCCATGTTTCTAAAGTAAAACTGTAATAAAATATAATGTAGATAAAAGAATTAGAGTGTTATTTATTAACAGAATTCTTTTAATCTTTAACCATAATAGAAAACTTTTACAAAAAAAATTAAATATTTTTGTACTCCGTGTCATTAACTTTTATATTAATACTATTATGTATTTCCATAGATATACCACAGTTTTACTAAGAATTTAAAAACACAGTAAATTTTTGATTTTTTCTATTATTTTTTTAATTTTTGAATTTTACAATATTTGTTAACTTTTAAAATGTTAAAAATATACTTACTTTTAGTTCAATTTTACAAAAATTAAACATGACTGATTTTTTTGTGTATTTGCTTTAAAAATACATAGAATAAATTAATAATGTTATATTGATATAACGCCGTTTTTAAAGTTTTACTAAAAAAGAAAAATATCGTACAGATTTCAATGACTTTAGAAAGAACGATTGCATTTTAACTTAAAGAATACATTTAAGATAACTGTGTATTACCAAATATAAATTCTGAATTGTAATTGTTTGTTTTCTGGCTGTTATGCCGTGGTCTCTGTTGTTTATTTCTACCAAACGTTTCAGCTGCAAATTTGGCAGCCATCTTAAATGGCGTGGACGAAGTACGCTTCTCGACGTATAAACTGAACGTTTTTTTTTTGATTTATTATTTACTTTTTCATGTGTTTTACATTTTTCTAGGACATTTTATTTTCCTATTTCCCTGCTATAGGAGTAATCCTCCTTTTCAGGGTGGTCTGCCCTGATTACAAAAGTAACCTAGCTAGCTATTTCCTAATGGTGTCATGTGCGCGTGTGGGACCTATGTGGCAGGTTGTGTTACCCAAAAATATCGCCAATTTTGCTATTTCTAACCCCATAAATGGACAAGTCCAAATATAGGGTGGGGAATATGATTTAGGAAAACCACAAAACCTAAATCACGATATTGTACATATATTACGACTTTCTAATTATATGATTGAGAAGGGTTTATCTGATGTTTGGGGGGCTGATCCAGCAAATCCTGGAGTTCAGCAGTGAAGAAGAGGTCTTGGGAGTCTGAAAGAAGTCTCAGACTAGGTTGTGGAATTTTTCTTTTCGGTTTTAGAAAAAGTGGAAGTTAGTTTGGGCGCCATGGGGTTCGTAGAGTGTCTTAAGAGTGTGTGTTGGTGCCTTTCAGCGTGCGAGAGACGTATTGTTTCCTGAGGGTTTGGAAACGTGTGAGGATGGGGTGTTGGAGATGTTTTAAAAAACTTCTCCGCTGGGGGAGCGAGAGGTGTTTGGGAAGTACGCCGTAGGGTACAGCTCTGTATTCAGCAACGGGTCGGATAAAGGAATTGTAAGTGTGAATAAGGGTGTTTGTGTTTCAACGCCCCATTCGTCCGCACAAAGCCCCAAGGAGACTGGCTCGCATCTTATCAAGAGTACATTGGACATCCAAGGAGCAGTTAAGTGTACGAGAAAATCGTACCCCCAAATAGTCAACTTCAGTCTGTTGAGCGAGCCTGACTCTTAGGAGCTTTACATTTACGAGTTGGGGGTTTTGGGAGGTTCTTTAAGAATTTGGATGTTTAAAGACGATGCATTATGTTTACTGCGGATTTAATCAGACCCTACATTTGCTACACCAGTGAGAGTACTGGTTTAACAGATTTTGGGTTCGAGTATTTAGGTGGTTAGAATTTTTGGCTACCGAGATTAGAGCTGTATCGTCGGCGTGTAGGAGGCATCTGGATGTAGGGTGGTTATGGAGGGAATGTCTTGAGTGTAGATGAGGTAGAGAAGATGGGCTAGGACGAAGCCCTGTGGAACACTCGCAAGTGGGATGAATGTGTCTGATAGGGAGTTGCCCACTTTGACTGAGATTTTTCTGTCTGAGAGGTAGGAGTGCATGAGTTTGGAGATTTGGGGGGGGGAGACCTATGTTCATAAGCTTTTTGACTGGTCCGGCATGCCAAACTTGGTCGAAGGCCTTTTGAACATCTAAGAAAAAGGCTGAAAAGATTTGTTGAAAGTTTACTGCAGTGACCGCAGTAGTGTGAAGGGAGGAGATTGCGACCTGAGTGGAGTAGTGGGGTCTGAAACCATATTTCAAGGGGGGGGGGGTGGATGTTGGGATGGAGGCAGGAGCGACCTGTTCGGGTTTTTTGGGGGGATTTTGCCATTCTGGACAGGTTATAGAATAGGCAGGGTGGTTGCCGCGACAATTTGAGTATTTTGGCACCTTGGACTTTTTACAGTCGGTTGGCCTGTGGTGCAGCCCGTCGTTTGGCCAGGAGGGTTTTTTAAGGCATTCTGAGGCCGAATGCCCCAGGCTGGTGCGCTGGGTGCAATATTTAGGGATGGGAGGAAGGGAGTTTTGGTTGGAGGGTTCGACGGGGTGTCTTTGGTTGAAGATGCCGAAGCCCTCTCGAATAAGGTAGGAATGGTATGACTCTGAAGGAGTCAACACCCTTATGAAGAAGGTACATTCTTGGGTTTTCTGGGACCTTATTCTCCATGTTGGTATGGGGAATGCTAAAGTCTTCGAGAACCTCTTGAATTTCCTGGAGGGTTATGTTTTTGCTAACCTGGTGGATAACAAGAGAGAATTAAGGAGCGGGAGGCGGGGATCTAGTGGTTTTTTCGGGGGGGGGGTTGTGTGTATTTGGGGTTTAATATGATTTTGTTATCCCCCATCCGCTGTCTAATGAGTATCTGGAGTTCGGTGGTGGTTTTAGTGGAGGAAGGTTTTATCAGGGCTGTTTTGTTGTAGTTGGCTTTTACGAAAGTTAGGTTCTATCGGAATAGTTCTTGAGTGTTCAGTATGTTAAAAAGAGCCTTTTGTGTTGTGTAGGTGGTGGGAATGTTCCTGAGAACGTAAAGTGTGTATGTAGGGGGACGGTGTGGTTTGTCGGGTTGGTTGTAGGGTAGTGTGGGAAGTTGAACGGGTTTTAGGGGGAGTGGTTGAGGTTTTAGGGGGTACTGTATCGCAGCTTTTGGAAAATGTTAGAAGGTTTTTAAATGGTCTGGTCCATGAGTGCGGGTCAGATGCAGCAGAACTGGCGTAGGAATTTTTGCGTGTCACCACCATGGTGGTGACAATGGTTTGTGGAAGGAGCTGTTATTTTTGGTTAGTATTTGGGGAGTCCCTGCTCCAACTAGTGTGTGGCAGTCTCACTACTCAAGGGCTGTAAACCCCGGCAATATGATGACTTGACCCTATTCGAATGACGTTTGTTAGTTTGTGAGTAACTTACAATGTTTAGATCCTGTAGTCCTGTTGTCGTCCATGGTTGGCCCTTGCTGAAAGAAATGGATTAGTTTGTCGTTATTTATAAAATAACAAATTATTCTAATTCGAATAATTCGCAGTGCGAATGGGGTTATTGTCCTGAAATAAACTGGATTAAGTGTCGTATTTAATTTTAAAATCTTATATGAATATCTTAGCCTTTTTTAAAGTAAAACTCTGGAAATCATTTTTCGAAAATAGGGCTATTAGGTTTTATTACTTTTGAGTAATTCTTGTTTAAAAAAATATTTTTCTAATTAAAATTTCTAAAAGAAATTTCAAAAATACTAAATATTTAACACTGGATGCTTTCACTTCAGATGCTACAGCGAAAGTGGGCTTTCTCAGTAACTTCCACAATGCTTCTGTTCCGCTTTGGCCATTCTCGTCCGCTCGTCACACAGGTACCGTCTCGTACTCTTACTGGATCTCGAATGTGTGGCTGACCTCTTTCGCTTAGAGTGTGGTATTTATATGCGTTATTTTTGACGTAACTGATATTAAACCGTTTCATTTTCGCGCTTTTTAATTGTTTGCCAGATCCTAGATAATGTTGTTTTGTTTTTCCTTTCTATTGAGGTTATTTTAATGTTTGTGTATTTTTATAGCCTCTAAGTGTAATATGGTCGAGTAAAGTTGCAAGTAGGTCGGTGTCTTCGAAAATAATCTTTTGTTCTTCGTCGGTTTATCCTAAACGACAACTATGTTTGTGTTCTGCTAGTCGTGTACCAATATCTATGTGTACTTTTCCACAAATGTATGGAATTCTGTAGATTCCTGCTGATTTTAGAGGGTCTCTGTAGTCTTTCGCTCTTTTCTTTTTCTTTAAGATTTTGCCAATTTGGTCACTGATACCTTCTACGTATGGTAGATAGACAGTTCCTTGGTTGTGTTCTTCACTAGACGTCTTATTCTTCCTTTGGGTGCGTAGCATGGATTATATACTTTTGCTGTATCCTATTACTTCTAACACTGTTGTCAGGTATTTCATTTAATCGTTGATATGTCTTTGTTCACATATCCTTAACGCTATGTTTACTAAGGTGTTAATAACCGTGCGCTTTTGTTTTGGATGATGGTTGGATCCATATTGTAGGTATCGATTAGTGTGTGTCTTCTTTCTGTATACTTTGTGGCCTAGTTTATTGTCTTCTCAGCTGACTAAACACATCTAGAAAAGGAAATGGTCAATTTTCTTCTATTTCCATGGTGAAAACTAGAGATGGTTTAGGAAATTCTGGAGGTCTTTTTCCCCGTCGCTCCAGATTACAAATGTGTCATCTTCATACCTCAGCTAATGCTTTGGTTGTTTTTTAGCTGTGCGATAGGTCTCTCTTCAAATTTGTCCATCTAAAATTTACTTAAAACTGGGCTGAGTAGACTGCTTATGGGGACTCCTTTAATTTGTTCATAGAATGTTTTATTTTACTGGAAATACGTGTGTCGGAAAGGACTGATGAGCTCTGGAAAAGTATCTCCTGTGTAACTACTTTAATTGGCACATTTGTGAGTAAAGAGATGATGTTCAAGCTGACAAGAATGTCGTCAGGCTCTAGGGTGATACTCTTTATGTGTTTGATGAAGTGCGTAGAGTCTTGCAAGCAGGTTTTTGTCTT